GTCTCTGTTGGTGATAGTACATCTTTAACATTTTTTTCTTTTCTTTCTTTCCCTCCCTCCCTCCCTCCTTTCTTTCTTTCTTTCTTTCTTTCTTTCTTTCTTTCTTTCTTTCTTTCTCTTTCTTTCTTTCTCTTTCTTTCTCTTTCTCAGGGTCTCACTCTGTCACCAAGGCTGAGTGCAGTAGCATGATCACAGCTTACTGCAGCCTCAACCTTCCGGGCTCATCTACATGATCCTGCCACCTCAGCCTCTCAAGCAGCTGGGACTACAGGTGTGCAACACCATGCTCTGCCAATTTTTTGTATTTTTTGTAGAGGTGAGGTTTTGTCATGTTGGCCAGGCTGGCCTTGAACTCCTGGACTCAGGTGATCTGTCTGCCTTCGCTCGGCCTCCCAAACTGCTGAGATTACAGGTATGAGCCACCCTCCCTGGCCCTTTTATTCTTATAATCTCACCTTTTAACTAAAAGAGAGCAGACTGGGCTCAGCATTTTTCAGCAGGCAATAATACCTGGTATATTGGTTTGTTAAGTCTACCATAATAAAATACAACGGAGTGGCTCATTTAAACAACAAAAATTTATTTTCTCATAGCTCTGGAGGCTAGAAGTCTGAGATCGAGGTGTCAGCAGGTGTTTTCTGAGTCATCTTTCCTTGGCTTGCAGATGGCTGCCTTCTCTGTGTCCTCACGGGGTCTTTCCTCTGTGCACGTGCATGTCTAGCCTCTCTCTCCTCTCTCTTTCTCCCTATCTGTCCTAATCTCCTTTTCCTATAAGGACACCAGTCTTACTGCATTGGGGCCCACCCACCATATTTTAACATAATTACCTCTTTAAAGCCTTTACATCCAAATACCATCACCTTCTGAGATTCTGGGCTTTGGGACTTCAACATATGAATTTTGAGGGAACATAATTCAGTCCATGACACCCAGCTAGAGTTTTAGGACATTATCTTTCACTTGTTTTTGGAGATATAAATGTTGCTTTCTATTAATGCAAGACATGCCAGTTTTCCATTTATAAATTTGATGCAAATTTTTCATAAATATACATGTATTTAAATAGTAGGAAGCTTGATTTAAAGTAAAACATAAGAATTAACAGTATACCAAAAATTGTGAAGGGAGACGCAAATGGCTGAATTTGGGGAAACATTGCCTGGATGATTTCTAAAGCCCGTTCCAACTCTTAGTTTCTTTCTTATATTATTTTAATTTTATTGCTTATGCATCCATTTAATTGAGTGCCTGCTATGGTTTGAATATGTCCCTCAAAGTTTCTGTGTTGGAAAATTGTCATTGTCACAGTATTCAGAGGTGGGACCTTTAAGAGGTGATTAATAGATTAATGCCATTATGGAGGGAATAGGTTAGTTATCTGTGGAGTGAGTTCCTGATAAAAGGATGAGTTTGGTCTGATTTTCTCTGTGTCTCCCATACTCACTCTTCCACCACATTATGATGAAGCAAGAAGGTCCTCAACAGATGCTGACACCATCTTTGTGGATTTCTGAACCTCCAAAACTGTAAGAAATACATTTCTTTTGTTTATAAATTACCTGGTCTGTAGTATTCTGTTACAGCAACAGAAAATGGACAAAGAGGGTGCATACGAAGTTTCACATTAGTGTTGGACATTAGAGTGATCATAGAGTCAAATGAATGATACCATCAGACCAAAGAAAGAAAGAATTCAATTCTACCTGGGAGAATCAGAAAAGGCTTCCCAGAGGCGGTGACAAGCAGTATATTTTGGACTTTTCAGCCACACACAAACATGGTCTCCTCATTCTTGACTCAATATTTCCTGAATTTTGAATGTGTACAAAACACTGTGACGATGCACCAAGAAGACACTGTGACTTTAAGAGGAGAAAAGAAGCTAATTAGTAGCAGAGAAGACCAGACATAAAATCATGACTTGCATTTAGGGTTGTACTTCTTCCAGAGATGATTTTAAACATGTTTGGTTTTTTTCCCCTTGATTAGAAACTTTACATTTTCCTAGAATCTAGTTGTCTGATGTGAAATACATATTGGAAAAATTCAGGCATAATTGTGAAAACGTATTTCTTAATCAAATGTAACCACAGGAGGAAAACTATTTCATTGAATGAACTCCTCTGAGGAGACAGAGTTTGTTTTTGGAGTAATTCATTAAATGTTTTAACCATTGGTCCCTGTCTTGGTCATTCAGCAAAGCACAAATATTTTTGGAGCTCCTACTAGATGCAGGAACTGTTCTAGATGCTGCAGATACTGTGGAGAGTAAGACCAACAAGGTTCCTTCTCCTGGGGCTTACACTTACACTCTGGCAGGGAAATTGACAATAAGCAAACAAATAGATGAGAGAGGATCAGACAGAAATAAGCACTCCAACAGAATGAACATAATGTGATGAGATAGGGATGATGGGAGAGCATACCTTGGACTAGGGGAGTTGGGAAAACCTCTCTAAGAGGCTGATCTTAAGATGAGATCTAAGTGATGAGAAGCAGCCAGTGAGAAGAATATTACAGATTAGGGAGGAGCTGGGCATGGGCCTCAAGGTAAGGAGGAGTATGTGAATTTCAGAAACAGAAAGCGGGCCTGATTCTGCAGCCTGTTGGGCAGAGGAGACTGGCAGGAGGCAAGGTCAAGGTCAAGGAGGAAGGTCGGGGTGAGATCACGCCTAGAACCTCGTAGGCCATGGTGAGGAACTGGGATTTGCTCAGGTGCAAGGAGAGCCACTGGAAGTTTCTGAACAGGAAATGGCATGATCTTGTTCAGCATAACATCTGCCTGTGTGAACATAGAGGCTAAAGAGTCCAACTGCCCAGCTCCAAAGCTTAGCATCCCCACCTACCAGCAGCCAGATAACCTCTCCAAGTTCAATTTCTGTACCTTGGGGTCAAACCCAGCTCAGAAGATGAGAAACAATGCTGTACAATTTCTCCACAGCAGGAGTTGGCAAACTTTTTTCTGTAAAGGATCTGTTGTGGGTTGAGTTGTAGCCCTCTAAAATTCTTATGTTGAAGTCCTAACCCTCAGTACCTCAGAATATGACTTAATTTGGGAACAAGGTCATGCTACACTTAACTTGTTAAAATGAGGTCATTCTGGAGTAAGGAGGGTCCCTAAGCCTATATGACTGGTGTCCTGATAAAAGGGGAAATTTGGACAGACAGCACACAGGGAAAACGTCATGTGAAGATGAAGGCAGAGGTCAGGGCCGTACTTTTATAAGCCAAGGAATGCCAAAAATTACCAGGAAACCACCAGCAGCTGGGACAGAGGCTTGACGTAGGTTTTCCCTCACAGCCCTCAGAAGGAAGCAACCCTGCCAACACCTTGATCTTGGACTTCCAGCCTCCAGAACTGTGAGAAGATAAATTTCTGTTATTTAACCCACTCAGTCTGTGAGACTTTGTTATGACAGTCCTAGCAAACTAATGCAGTGCTTCCTTAGTAAATATTTCGGGCTTTGCAGGCCAGATGATCTCTGTCATACTACTCAACTCTGCCGTTTTAGCACAAAAGCAGACACAGATAATACAAACAAAGGAATGCAACTGTGTTCTAATAAAGCTATTTACAAATATAGGCAGTGGGCAGGCTGGACTTGGCCTGTGGGTTGCAGTTTGATAACCCCTGTCCTACAAAAATGTCTACTTCATTTTGCCCACCAAAGGCCGGCTGTTGGGTAACTTCACTTTTTTTTTCATGGAGACCTTGCCTCTGTTTGCAATTTAGTAATAATAAGAAGAACTAATATTTACAGAGTAATTAATTTGTACCTGGCTCCATGGTAAGTGCTTTATTGAATTTCCTTACTTAATACTCCCAACAACCTAATGGCATAGGAATTGCTGTTTCCAACTCCATTTTACAGATGAGCAAATTGAACACAAGTGAGTTAATTGAGTTGCCTAAAATCCCACAGCAGGATTCAACCCCGGCAGCCCGACCATTATTCTAGCAAAACATACATAGAAGTGACTTTCCACTGCCTCAAAAAAAAAAAAAAAAAAACATTTTCTGGCTCTTTCCTCTCGTGCTCATCTCCTAGCCTTTGGCATTTTTTTCTTTTTCCAGCATAAAAATGTGTTTAAGTCATTTCCCCTCCAATTAAGATGTGCAATCCTTTCCTCCCTAGGGAGCAGTCAGCTACTGCAGATTATTTTGGAAAAATTATTCATTTGTCTTATTTCTGTATGTTGGAGCAATTATTCCTTTTTACTTATGATCATTCTTTTAAAAACAATACCATACCTTTAATAGTCCCATCAGTATTGTTACTTTTGCAAGGATGATGGGCTGATAGAGCCATATGAATAAACTAGTACATGGAAACTCTGAGGTTTGATAAGAGCAGTTGATGAGCTGTGAACGGTGGTCAAGTTTTGCTGTTTCATTTCTTCAGCCTCGTTTATTCACCTGTTTCTCTTCATTTCTACTGGCACCATCCCAGACCAGTCCTCTTTATTTCATGGCTGGATTGTTGCAAGTTTGTCCCTATGTCCCTGAGCTATTTTCTTTCTCATTTTTTCCTGTCTGGTATATCAGATTCATCTTCCTAAAATATCTCTTCAGTCCTATCACTGTCCTTCTGGAGAACTCCCAATGGCTCCCCACTGCCTCCCAAATCAGGCTCCTCCACGTGACCCCCCACCCTCACAAACATGGCCTTTTAGATTTATGTGAGTGAGTATGGTATTACTTTCAAGCCAAATGTGTTTTGATTTGAAACAGAGCATCTCTGATTTGTATAAAACATTTCTCATGCCAAAAATGCCAGCATCACCCATAAGAATTCATGAACTTAAAGAAGCAAACAAAATTAAGGGTATATAAAAACAATCCATTCCACCAAATTCACCAATCAGTAGTGATATGCAGCATCCACACAATAAACATCCTTCCTACCAGATGGGGAGAAAGAAAATTGAACCCCAAATTCAATCCACACAAAGGAAATATTTCACCCAGTTAGAAGGCTGGCTATGTCCATGTGTGAGCCAAGAAAGCACTGAATCCATTTTTGAAATATATGTTCTATTAATCAGGATAACACAGCTGCCATAACAAATAGGTCTCCAGATTTCAGTAGCTTGACATGCTAGTTTATTTCTTGCCCCCACAGCAATGAATGGGTGTTCCAAGGCAGGCATTTTTGGTTGGTGGACAGCTTTCCTCCACGTGGTCATTCAGGGTTCCGGCCCTCTTCCCTCTCTGGCTCCACAAGAAGAACTCATTGTTGTCAGTTTCACCTGCTGATGGAAGGGAAAAAGGTCTGTGTGGAGCAGGCATGCCTGCTTCTTAACAAACCTATCCCAGAAATAATACCCATGACTGGGGCTTGACCCTATTGGCAAGAACAATGGCACCTGGACATAAGGGGGTCTGGGAAATGAGTCCCTGGTTGGACAGCAACTTCTCAACAATGGCCTCATACTATGGGAGGGCAACTGTGGATTGAGGTGGACAGCTAGGTGTTCCAGCTATATAGAGAGGCCGTTAATATCAAGTTCAATGGTAACTTGATCCTCAGGCTAAATATAACTTGTCCAGGTAATGACAGGCAGGCAAAACCTGAAAAATAAAAACAAAGCTATTATTCCTAAAAATTACTTTTTATTACACAATTTTACCTGGTTAACTCCTATTCATTCTCCAAATCTCAGCCCAGTCATTACATTCTCAGTAGAGCCTTTCCAGATATTTCTGCCTAAGCTGCATTTCTGTTTTCTATACACTTCTAGCCCCACAAACTCCCCATCTGTAACACAACATGTGTGCAGTTTTACATTTGTGTGTGTAGTGATTACATGAAAGCCTCTCTCCTTCGTTAGACTCTATGTTTCATGAGAGCAGGTATATAAATTGTTTTTCTGACTACCTTGTTTCCAATGTCTAGCACAGGAGCAGGCACACAGTAGGTTCTCACCACATAATTATTGATTGAATAAATTAAATAACATTTGTTCATTGTAGAAAAAATGGAAATACAAATACACACACAAAAAAATGGACCTTTAAAATCATCTATAAGCTCTTATATGGGTCAGCTATTGCTGAGTTAATGCTGTGTAACAAACATCCCCCCAAATCTTGATGACTTGCAACAACAATGTTTATTTCTCACTCAAAGTTTTGTGAGTTGGCTGTGGTGGCTTGACTTTGGGCTTCAGGTCTGGTCCAGACCTGACATAGATCTTTTGCCATGACCTAGGCTAAGAGATCAGTAACTACCTGGGGTGGATTCTTCTTATGGTGATGGACAGTAGTGCAAATGATCAAGCCAATCCATGTACACAGTTAAAATATCTATTTGGGTTTGGTGTATGTTTTCACTGTCCATATTCAATTGGCCAAAAGCAACATGGCCTTGGGAGACAAAAGAAGGACTCTCCTTCAGTGAACCTTGACAAGCATGGAAAGGGGTGGAAGAAAACAGGGCAATCTATTGTGTTCCCATCCTAACTTTGTGTTCCATATGTTTAAATATTGTGTATGTAGCTGTATACATAGATATATTTTTAATGCTAATCATACTGTCTTCTAATCTTCTAAAGGCAGAATATTTAAAGTTAGAGAGATCCTGAGGAGGAGACACAACGGGAGGCATTATCAATATTTGAGCTTGAGTGTATACAGAGTATTTTATTAATTCCTGCAGTGACTTACAAAAAACAAACCTGCAAAAAAATCTTTCAATCTAAACTGTGTTGGAACTATGCCCTGGCTTTATTTATAGCTCCTTTTAAAAAATGAATGAATCATGACTCATTAATAAGTGTAGCAGGAATAACAAAACTGGGACTTACTTCTTGTCTTCAAATATTGCCATGCCTAAACCATTCTAGAAAACATACACATATGCAAAAGCATTTCATCACTGCTCAGGCTGGTTCTGGTGCTTAACAATTCTCAGAGACTGGAAGTCCTTTCATCTCTCAGCACTTTAAGTCTTTCTCAGTAGACACGGAAAACAACAGGCCATCCCTTATGAACATTTCCTTCGAATCACCTTTATGTACCTCATGAGTGACAGGAGCTGATTTCTTCTGTAAACCAACAATAACCAAGTACTTAAAAGTCACTCTCTCTTTCTCTCTCTCTCTCTGCTGTCTCTCTGCAAGCTTTTGGTGTATTCAAATACAACTGATGCCTTAAATCCTGACTTATTAAATAAGAAGGGAACGGTTTACTGTGATCTTATGTGGAAGCTGCTCAGATGTCAGGTGAAATGTGAATGAGAAAATCAAGGAGAAAAGACCTTTTAAGTGCCTCTTGGTGCGTTCATATTTGAAGGGGGAAAATGTACTTGTTCAAACATTTATGTTGCTGTATTTCCATTTCTACCACAAGTAGATTCTTCCACCCTAAGATGTCCTCATATTATTTTTGACATATTTTTTTCGGTCTTGAACTAAAAAGTATTGAAGTTGAAATAAAGTTGAAAAAATGAAATTAAAAAAATCACATATTTCTAATTAAAATGGATATAAAACAAGATTCAAGGCTCAAGCTGATGACTTGAACTAGAACTTAAGGATTTCAAGCAACCAAGAGCCAGCCCAGGTGGTCCAGCCTCTCCCCCGTAGACATGTGCAGGACAGCACCTGGCCCCATGCTCTCCCTCAGTCCCCACTCCAAAAACTTTAGCCTCCTTCCCTCAGAGGAGGAACTGATGTTAGGGTTGCACAATTCTGTTTTGAGACATCAGACAGCAAAATGATGTTGTAAAGCCGGTAAAACAATCACCCACCTTCCCAGACTCTCCTTGGGTCTATTTGCTTGGAATCTGGCATTTTCATTTCGCCTGCTTGACAGAGTTCCCCTCTCACCTTCTTTCCCAGGACTCATCTGTTTCTGCTCTGCCTGCCCACCCCCTGCATTTGACCACCCACCCACACAGGTGGTCTGCAGTCGTTTGGGGGATATGCCACCCAGTTAATCCAAAAAGCCAGCAGTTTTGAAAAAGATGCCCCTCCTCCTGGGCCTTGACTCCTCTTTCACGGCTGCTAATTCCATTACCTGAGAAAAGGCAACACCCGGAAAACCAAGGTGGGTGTGGTCAATATCAGAGTATGCAGCGGGCTGGACAGGGGTTGGAAACCAGCTCTTAGAAAGTGGTATGATTTGGATCTATGTCCCCACCCAAATCTCATGCTGAATTGTAATCCCCAGTGCTGGAGGTGGGGCCTGGTGGGAGGTGATTGGATCATAGGTGTGGTTTCTCACGGTTTAACACTATCTCCCTTGGTGCTGTTGTAGTGATCGTGAGTTCTCATAAGATCTGCTTGTTTAAAAGTGTGTGGCACCAACCCTGCCTCTCTGTCTTCCTCCTGCTCTGGCCATGTGAAGTGCCAGCTCCCCCTTCACCTTCTGCCATGATTGTAAGTTTCCTGAGACCACCTCAAAAGCCAAGCAGATGCCGGCACCCTGTTTCCTATGCAGCCTGCGGAACCATGAGCCAAACAAACATCTTTTCTTTATAAATGACCCAGTTTCAGGTATTTCTTTACATTAGGTTGCTGCAAAAGTAGTTGTGGTTTTGCCATTGCTTTTAATAGACTTGTGAGAAGAGATTAATACAGAAATTGTGCCCTGTTTCTGCTTGAGCAGTGTTTTGTTTATTTCTTTCTGCATAACAGACCAGCCCAACATTTAGCAGCTTAAAACAATAACACTCATGTTTAGCCCTCTCCATTCTGGAGGTTGACCAGACAGCTTTTCCGCTGGTTGTATTTATAATCTCTTATGTGTTTGTAGCCAGATGGCAGCTGGGGGTAGGGTCGTCTGGGGGCTCAGCACTGAAATGCTGGGAGCCCCTCCCTCTCTACAGAGTGTTGAGTCCTCTCCTTCCCACTGGGCCTCTCCAGCAGGAAAGCTGGACTTTCCACCTGGCATTCAGGGCTCCCAAAAAGCAGAAAGGAGAGCTGCCTGTATGGTCTGAATGTTTGTGTCTCCCCAAAATTCCTATTTTGAAACCTAATCCCCAGTGTGACAGTACTAGGAGACATGGTCCTTGGCAGATGATTAGGGCTGAGTGCGGAACCCTCATGAATGTGATTAGCGTCTTTGTAAAAGAGGCCAGAGGGAACTTGTCTGTAGTTTCCACCATGCGAGGACACAGCAAGAAGGTGTCATCTAGAGCCGGGCACAGTGGCTCATGCCTGTAATCCCAGCACCTTGGGAGGCCAAGGTGGGCAGATCATGAGGTCAGGAGATTGAGACCATCCTGGCTAACACGGTGAAACCCCATCTCTACTAAAAATACACAAAATTAGCCAGGTGTGGTGGCAGGCACCTGTAGTCCCAGCTACTCAGGAGGCTGAAGCAGGAGAATGGCGTGAACCCGGGAGGCGGAGCTTTCAGGGAGCCAAGATCGCGCCACTGCACTCCAGCCTGGGCGACAGAGCGAGACTCCATCTCAAGAAAAAAAAAAAGAAAAGAAAAGAAGGTGTCATCTAGGAACTGGAAAGTTCCCACCAGATACCAAATCTGCTGGTGCCTTGATCTTGGATACTAAGCCCCCATAACTATGAGTGATACATTTCTGTTGTTTAAAAGCCACCCAGTTCATAGCATTTTGTTGTAGCATCTGGAACTAAGACACTGCCAGACCCACTGAAGTCTCAGGCTCAGGGTCAGCAACGGTGCACTGCCACTTTACTTGGCTAATGCTATGCCAGGGCCAGTCAGAAGAGGGTCAATAAACTCCATCTCTTTTTTTATGAGATGGAGTCTAGCTCTGTCGCCCAGGCTGGAGTGCAGAGGCACCATCTCGGCTCGCTGCAGCCTCCACCTCCCAGGTTCAAACAATTCTCACGCCTCAGACTCCTGGGTATCTGGGATTACAGGTGAGTGCCATCATGCCCGGTTAATTTTTATATTTTTAGTAGAGATGGGGTTTCACCATGTTGGCCAGGCTGGTCTTGAACTCCTGACCTCAAGTAATCTTCCTGCTTTGGCCTCCCAAAGTGTTGGGATTACAGGCATGAGCCACTACGCCCGGGATAAACTCCATCTCTTGTTGGAGGGGTGGGAAGAGAGGGACAGACGAAAAATTTCTGGCCCTCTTTGATTTGGAAGGACTTGTTTTCAATGCTCTTCTGCAGTGGATTTCACCTAGTCCTGGTCCTTTGTGCTTGAGCACATTTTTCTTGGGTTGCGTTCTTATTCTTGGCTTTCAGTATGTCATATCACTGAGTCCTTGGCCTGGTAACTGGCTTCACTACTCCATGCTTTCAGTTCATTTGCTGCC